TGGATGTCCTACCCAATGCCAGTTTGAATCTGTTCTCGTCACAGTGCCGCATATAGGTATGGGGCCCCTGCTTACCACGATCCATAGACTTTGTCTGAGCACTGTTGTACTCCCTGTGGGGTATACTCTGTATTAGGCCTTGTCCCTAGTATCCCCAGATCTCTCTGTCTTTTTTTGCCAATCTGAAGTAGAAAAATGATTTATTATGACTTCTTCTTGGATTTCTCCATCAGGATTTGGTCTGGTACATTTTCTAGGTCTATTTAGTGGAGTTTGGGGGAAGAGCTCTTCATTGTACTACTTCTAGCTACTCTGCTGCCTTTACAACTTTTCAAAACTTGAATAATAATTCATGTTTATATAGTGCTTTAAGATTAGCAAAGTAGTTTTGTGATGGTGATGTAAAAGATTCTAGAAAAGCCAAGCTATGCCCAGAATACTCCAACAGAGTTGTAAAAGTGTACCAGATGGAGCACTGATAAAGAAAATCAAAAAGAAATATCAATAAACTTCCCCATATAGGACAAGACTCCGTAAGAAGACTGCCAGGAACCCATATACACTCTGTATATGCCAGGGGAAGCAGAAGTCACAGTTCCTGGGAAGCCTGTGTCATAACCACAGCAGGTGACATGGGTTGTGCAGCTGGTGGTCAACCCGTGCCAGAGCATGTGGGACTCAGGGCCAGTAAATGAGCCAGGCAGCATGAGCACTGGGGGCCTTGTAGGAGGCCTACGATCAGCCCAATTTATGGTAACCTGTTGGAGCTTATCAGGGCCACAGCAGGGGATGGAGCTGACTTCTGGTTGGAAATTGTGCAAGGAGAAAGAGACAAAGACCAGACTAAGGGCAAAACTTGCAGTGAACCACCCAGAAATGAACCACCCCAGAAGCAAAAGATTCTGCCAAACAGTGAGGGCTAGCCTTAGCCACCCCATCCAGAAAAGCAGCAGCAATAGCAGCTAACAACAGAAGGGATGGGACCAAGCAGGGCCTGCCTACACCGTCCAAGAGAATGGGAGGGAACAGAGTTTTTTTCCCCCTAGGGTTTTTTGTTTGCTTGTTTGCTTGCTGTTTGCCATTTGCTTTTTTACTTTAAAAAGTTTTTTTAAAAAGTACATTCCTCTCCCCTCCCAGAGTCATCCCATATAACAAATAGTATTTTAATATTTTATTTTCCCCTCAATTACATGTAAAGACAATTTTTGACATTCATTTAAAAAAAACTTTTTGAGTTCTAAATTTTCTCCCTTCCTTTTCCTTGAGACAATTAGCAATTTGATATAGGTTCAAGGTTGAGGAACCTGAGGCTTCCAGGCCACATGTGGCCTTTTAGGTCCTTGGGTATGGCCTTTTGAGTGAGTCCAAGTTTTGCAGAACAAATCCTTTTATTAAGGGGATTTATTTTGTGAAGTTTGGATTCAGTCAGAGGGCCGAACTTGAGGACCTAGAGGGCCACATGTGGCCTCGAGGCTGCAGGTTCCTCACCCCTGGTCATACATTTACAATCATGCAAAACATATTTCTGTATTAGTCATGATGTGAAAGAAGATGCAGACCGAAAATAAACCCCACAAAAAAATAAAGTGAAAAATAGTGTGCATTCAGACTCCATCAGTTCTTTCTCTTGGATCATTGTACTGCAGAGAATAGCTAGTTCATTCACAGTTGATCATCTTACAATGTTGCTGTTATTGTCTGGTGTTCTCTTGGTTCTGCTCACTTCACTCTGCATCAGTTCATATACATTTTTCCAGGTTTGTCTGAAACCATCCTCCTCCTCATTTATTTTTTTCTTTGCTTTTTTTGTTGTTGACTCATCATTTCTTATAGTACAATAGTATTCCATTACCAGTCATTCACAGTTCTTCATAATAAAATATTGCTGTTACTGTATACAAGGTTCTCCTGGTTCTGTTCACTTCATTTTGCATCAGTTCTTGTAAGTCTTTCCATGTTTTTCTGAAATCAGCCTGCTCATTATTTCTTATAGTATAATAATGTTCCGTTACAATCATATGCCACAACTTGTTTGGCCATTCTACCATTGATGGGCTTCCCCTCAATTTCCAGTTCTTTGCCACCACAAAAAGAGCTGCTATGTTTTTGTACAAATAGGTTCTTTTCCCTTTTTACAAATAATTGATTGGTACATTGAAGAAGTCTAAAAATATGTGCAATGTTTAACACCTATGGATCTCCCATCTCCACAAGGAGTGGATTGGGATTATCTTTCTTTTATCTCTTTCAAGTCATGCTTGATCTTTATAATTTTGTTAATTCATTTAAAAATTTTTTAATATGTGGTTATTCTTTCTATTTATATTGTTATATTTATTGTGTATATTGTTTTCTTGTCTGTTGACTTCAGTCTGCATCAGCTCATGTTAATTTTTTCATACTTTTTTTGTATTCATCACACACATTTCTTTTTTTTTTTTGGTTGGGCAGTGGGGGTTGAGTGAATTGCCCAAGGTCACGCAGCTAGTAAGTATTGTGTCTGAGGCCAGTTTTGAACTCAGATTCTCCTGAATCCAGGGCCGGTGCTGTATCCACTGTCCCACCTAGCTGCCCCCATCACATTTATTTGTAACAGCACAGTAATATCCTGGCGGCTAGGTGGCTCAGTAGATAGAGCACTGATCCTAGAGTCAGGAAGATATGAGTTCAAATGTGGCCTCAGACACTTACTAGCTGTGTGATCCGGAGCAAGTCACTTAACCTGTCTCTTAATCCACTGGAGAAGGAAATAGCAAACCACTCCAATATCTTTACCAAGAAAACCACTGGGACAGTACGCTATAGTACACAGGATCACGAAGAGTCAGACGTGACTGAACAACAGCAATATCCCATTACGTTCATGTACCACAATTTGTTTAGCCATTCCCCAACTGATGGGCATCTACTTTGTTTCCAAAACTTTGTTATCACAAAAAGTGCTGTATAAATATTTTGGTATATGTAGGGACTTTGTTCTTATCTGTAGCTTCCTTGGGGAATAAGCTCAGTAAATTGAGTCTCTGGTTCAAAGGGTATGGATATCTTAGTCACTTGATTGGCATAATTCTAAATTGCTTTCCAGAATGGTTGTACCATTTCATAGCTTCACCAACAGTATATTAATGTACCTGTTATTCTACAATTCTCAAAATTGACTATTACCATTTTTTGTCTTTGCCAATTTACAAGGTGTGAAGTGAAACCTTAGGGTTGTTTTGATGTGCTTTTTTTCTTATTATTAATGATTTGGAGCATTCTTTCATATGGTTGTGAATAATTTGCAGTTCTTTTGAGAAATATTTGTTTTTATCCTTTGACCAGTTATTTTTGGGGGAATGGCTATTAATCTTATATATAAATATTTATTGTCTATATGTCTTAGATACTAAACCTTTAGCAAAGAAATTTGATACAAAGATTTTTTTTCCCCATTTGACCACTTCCATTCCTATTCTAGGTGCATTAATTAGTCTGTGCAGAAGGTTTTCGGTTTCATGTAATCAAAGTTATCAGTTTTATCTTTTGTAATTAATCACCTCTATCTCTTGTTTGCTTAAGAATACACCACCTACCCATAGATCTGAGAGGTATATGAATCTACTTCTCTTCTAATTTTTTTATAGTCTGATCATTAATATTAAGCTTGCATGTCCATTTAGAATGTATTATGGAATATGATGTTAAGGTGTTTATCTAAGCCTAATTCCTACCTGCTTTCCAGTTTTCCCAATAGTTTTTATCAAATAAGGAGTTTCTTCCCAGGTAATTTATGTTTTCCATTCTATCAAACACTGGGTTATTGAATCCTGTTGTTTCTGATTCTCTCTTGTCTAGTCTATTCCATTAGTATAGCTCTATTTTTAAAAAATTTTATTAATTTATTTTGATTTATCAGTAATCACTTCCATATGTTTTTGAGTTTAAAATTTTTCTCCCCCTTACTCCCCACCACTCTCCCCCAAGACGGCGCACAGTCTGATATAGGCTATTCATTTACATTCCTATTAAACATATTTTCACATTGGTGGTGTTGTAAGTAAAAATTAAAACCAATAGGAGGAACCATCAGAAAGAGGAAACAAAACTCAACAGAAGAGAAAAAAATAGCAATTCAACTTTCATAGTTCTTTCTTTGGATGTGGATAGCATTTTCCATCATGAGGCCTCTGGAGATGTCTTAGATCCTTGTATTGCTTGGAAGGGTTAAGTTTATCAATATTTATAGCTCTATTTTTTTTAACCAGTATCAGATGGTTTTGATAACTGCTGCTATATAATGTAGTTTGAGGTCTGGAAGTACCTTTCCCTTTTCATTTCTATTTTTTTTTCATAATTTCCCTTAATGTTCTAGATCTTTTTTTAAACAAATTTTGTTATTATTTTACCAAGTTCTATAAAGTAACCTCTTGGTAATTTGATTGGTATAGCATTAAAAGTGTAAATTAACTTCAGAAATATTGTCATTTTCATTATGTTGGCATAGCCTAGCCATGAGCACTGATTCCTCCAGCTATTTAAGTTGTTCTTTGTTTCTTTAAAGAGCACTTTGTAATTGAATCTATACAAGTCTCTTGTGTGCTTTGATAGATTGATCTCCAGATATTTTATGCATTTTGTAGTTATTTGGAGTGGGATTTCACTTTCTATTTTTGCTTCTTGGGTTTTGTTATTATTATATAAAAGTACTGTTGATTTTTTAGGGTTTATTTTGCAGCCTGAAACTTTGCTGAAGCTGTTGTTTCGTTTAATATCTTTGCTTAATCCCTAGCATTTTCCAAGTATACCATCACCAAATAGAGATAATTTTATATCCTCTTTACTTATCTTTATACCTTTAATTTGCTATCATTTCCAGAACTATATCAAGTAGTAGTGGGAAGAGTAGGAATCCTTACTTTATTCCCAATCTTTATTCCACATTGATTGAATCTTAATACATCTTAAGTGATGTTTGAGGAGGGTGGATATTAAAATATCTTTACTTTTCTTACTCTTAGGACTTCCTCGGTCTGCACGCCTCCCTCCCAAAACCATGGCTGACAACAGCAGTGATGAATACGAAGAGGAGAGCAACAAGGTACGTGCTAACTCACAGCTTATGTTGAGATTTCTGCTTTGATAGTCCATTGCTCACTGTAAAGTAACACCAGTATATTTGTCAGCATTTATTGATTGCCCTTTTGAGGCAGGGTAGGGAATCAAAGGCAAAGTGCCTTGAAAAGAGAATTTTATAAAACATAATTATGGGAAACAAAAGCCTAAAATTACAGTTGAATTTTTGGTGAAAAATTTCATACAGCTTGGACAAAAGGAGAAGAGTATGTGAAGATAACCTTACTTGATGGAAAAGTTCTTTAGTTTGGAGCCACTGAGTCCAGATACCTCTTTGCCTATTATACTTAGAGTTTAGAAAATTATTATATTCAGATTCAAGAAAAATAGATGAATATCAAGTTTCTCTTGAAGATAGGGAAGCAACAGGAGGACAGATCTACCCTGTGATTTGATTCAACTTTAGGAATTGGGGATAACCTTACTTAAACAATTTATGTATTAATGTTTAGGAGATGATCCTCAGTGTTTATTGTTAATGCCTCCGTTGAGCAGGATATACAGAGGTAAAGTAGTAAAGAATTTTTGTGAAAAAACTTTTAGCAATATGTCATTTCAAAAGCAGATTTCATAAAATTACATAAAGGAGAAAATTTCAGTATGGTTCAAGATGGTTCCACCATCTGCTTTAACTTCAAGGAGTGTATGGCAACTATATAGTGACAGTATAGCCATGAAACCATAATTTTTAATTTTTTTGGTTTGGGGTTTTACATTTATTAGATTGTGGCACTGTGAAGACATTTGGGGAAATTTTAAAAATTGCAATCAAAAGGTACATTTTAGACATTCTTCTGTTGCTTACAAAGTCACCAGGTCTTTCTTGCCCTGAAATGTGGAATCTATAACAAGTATTAATACAGATTAAAGGACTTGGATAAAGCACATAAGTTTGGAGAGATGGACTCAAGAGAAATGACCAAGTTTCCTAAGACAGTCACCCAGTTTTTGGATTACCTTCCTTCCTCTTGTCTGTTAACACTAAATGAATGTTTTAGGCTCTGTTGTCTTTCCAATACAATGTGCACCCTGAAGCAGCTTACAGTGTCTATTTTTAGTAGTTGTAAAAACAGCAGAACCAATTTTCCATAAGTCTTCCCTCTCCCTTACCCTGAAATTGTTATCTATGTACCTAAGAGAAAATTTAGCAAGTAAAGAAGTAGAAAAAATATATATTAGAATGTTCTAAGTAACTATAGACCACTGGGGCACAGTAACAGAATGGGCTCTACTGTGCCATTAGCTGTCATGCTAGTCGCTGCTTGATTAGAATAAGCCTTAGTTAGTTAATGTGTTTTGTATTTCTGTTTTTATCATTTATAAAGGAAAACCAAATCAAAAGCAGTTTTTATGTTGTTTTGTAACATATGTCACAATTTTATGTGCCAATAGGTACTTCACAGTCAAAGAAAGAGATTAATTAATTAAAAACAGACTGGATCCATACAGCAGTTAACCTCAATATAAGCCTACGGAAACTGAGATTTCAAAACCTACTTTTAAAGAGGGCTATTTGAATGGTCATCCCTCAGGTCCCAAGGGAGGGCATCCCACAGCCCCCAGGCCACAGAGACAAAGACTCGGACCCTGCCCCTCCTGCCCCTGCAAGCCCCAAGCGCCACCACGCCCCTTCCCGTGGACCTGACAGGGTGGGATGGTATATAGGGAGCCAGAAGCTCAGAAAGGTAGGTGGCAATGCCAAGGAGCAAACAATCTGTGATGTTGGGATAGAGCATTTAAGTTTGTGCATTTAATTACTTAAGGGGAGAGAAAAGGGAAGTATGGATAGGTTAAGCACATCAACTAGAAGGGAAGTAGCTGAACAAGTGACTGAACTGAAAAATCTACATTTTCTGGAACCTGCTGGTCAGGATTCAGATACAAAATTGGCTAAAGCTAAATAAAATTTGCTTGGGGCTCTTGGAAGCTCCTGAATAACAAATGTGGATAACATAGTTGTTAGAATCTTTGCCCCACCCCCACATCCCAGAAAAGGAATGGAAAATAGCAGTGAAAAGTGGGGACCCTGGTTAGAGCAAGAGACAGAGTAGAACCTGAGTCCTTCCTTCAGCCCTCTCCAGGGAGTTCTTTCCTTCCCCTGGTGATTTGGTGTTGGGGGGCGGGGAAGGGGGGAAGGACAGCGTTTAGAGGGAGGAGAGAGAGAAGTGAATACTATAAGGCCTTTGCTGCAAGTTCTCTAATCTTCTCTCTGTCTGCTCCTACTCAGGAGAAGAAAAAGGCAACCCAGATGGCCACTCAGCGTGGCTTCAGTGAGAATGAGGATGAAGAGGAAGATGATGATTCATCTGAAACTGACTCTGATGAAGATGATGATGATGAAGAGCATGGTGCCCCTTTGGAAGGGTAAGGAAAGATTCCCTATTGCTAATACCTAAGCCAGAGGAAAATATCCTCTCAAAATTATTGTGCCTTCTCCTCTTCAGGACCTGGAAAGACATCAGGTTAAAGGTGTGAAAAGAAGATCACTAAATCATAAAGAATACAAAGAAAAAAAAAGTTTAGAAAGGGAAACAAACAGGGCAATTTTGTTGCTACCTTATTAAATTTAACATATACTTTAAATAAAGCAAATTGCAGGTAACAAATTCACAGTGTCACATACAATCCTCTTTTTCATTCTTTGTATATTGGTATGTCTGTGTTCTTGTTCAAAGGAATTTGCAGTCCCTGAAAACACAATTGTCTGTGAAGTGATCTAGAAGCATATTTCATAAAGGGAAAAAAACAGCTATCATTAACTATTCACTATGGATAATTAACAAAATGAATAATCTATATGTGAATGGTCAAAACTGTCTATATGCTTTTAAATTGTTATTATTTTTTGCATCTGTCTCACTTCCCACTAACTGCCCTCTCCGTCCCCCATAGAAGCTTTCTCATAACAAGTAAGTGTAGGCAAACAAAACAGATCAACATATGAACATAATGGCCATATCTGAAGTATATGTCTCATTCTGCACAGATAGTCCGTCACCTCTCTGCCAAGAGACAGAAGGCATGCTTCATCCTCTGCAGAGTCAGTCTTAGAACAGCCTTGCAGACCCACCCAAGGATGGAAGGACCAGTTGAAGCAGTGGCTAGATTAGGAGTCCAGTGCTTTGTAGTTAGAGAGCAGCATATCCCACCACTCCTCCATGCTAGTCTTGAATATCTCATTCTTTCCTTCAGTGCCTATGACCCTGCAGATTATGAGCATTTACCAGTCTCTGCTGAGATTAAAGAGCTCTTCCAGTATATCACTAGGTAAGTAACCAGTTTATCACCAGATTCCTCCCCATTCCTAAGGGAGTTCATCCTTCCAGAGCATTGGGGTTCTTAATCTTTTTTATGTTTTGGACTCCTTTGGCTTCCCTTGGCAGAAGGGGTCTGGACCCCTTTGCAGAATAATATTTTTAAATGCATGCAATTAAATACATAAGATTATAAAGGACACCAGTTATATTATGCATTATTAATGTATAGTTATCAAAATATTTTTAGAAAACAGATTCATGGACCTCAGGTTAGGAACCCCTGTTCTAAAGTTTTATGATTTACTAATGTTAGTTAATTGCTTATGTTTATTTCTCTACCTTCCTTTGATGGTGTCTCTTAGGTATACACCCCAACTGATTGATCTGGACCACAAACTGAAACCTTTCATTCCAGACTTTATCCCAGCTGTTGGGGATATTGATGCCTTCTTAAAGGTACAGTTGAAAAATCTCTTCCCATGATTTTGTCCATCTCAGATATCTTCATTGCATCCAATCAGTAGTAATTATTTTGGTAGCCTAAGGTTCAGAAGCCTAAATCTCCTATCCCTGTCTTTGTCTGCTAATCAAGCTATTCTTTTTCCACCATTCAGGTTGATCTCAAAATCCACTTCTCCAAGAAACCAACCTAAACTGATCTAGCAAGAACTGATAATTTTCCTGACTCTGTTTTGACTAGAATTAGAATGTTTTTTCGCTGTTTCCTCTGGTACACACGCTATATTCCAATAATGGACAGAGTGACTTCCATTTATTTTTGCTGTTCACCTCAAATTTCACTTATTGCTGATATGTAATGCTATATGTAGGTGTGTATATATATAGTGTATGTGTGTATATGTATATATACATATATGTACATATATACACACAGACATACATATCCTACTTTTGTTATGTTGATGTCCTTTACTTATATATGTGTATTGCTGAGTCTGTTAAATTGTAAAAGGAATTGTGTATGTGTAGTTCTCTCTGTATAATATCTTCAGTAGCACCATACAAAAACAGTCTGTTACTTGATAATGATGATGATAACCTGAGTCTTTCTCCATCAGCTTTTTGAAAATATGTTTACTCCCTGTGCCTATTGGCTAGTTACCATTCCTCCTCTTTCTTCTCTACGTCAGGTGCCACGTCCTGATGGGAAGCCTGACAACCTGGGCTTGTTGGTATTGGACGAACCCTCGACAAAGCAGTCTGATCCCACAGTGCTTTCCCTGTGGTTGACAGAGAATTCCAAGCAGCACAACATCACAGTAAGGCACAGGCCTGGAAGGGTTCCCAGCCTATAGTGCTGAAGGATTGAGAGCCCAGTGGGCATTCACAGAATTGACTGACTGCCCCTGGGTTGGTTAGCACTGGCTTCAACAAGAATCTCAAGGCGAGGGGCAGCTAGGTGGTGCAGTGCATAGATCACTGGCCCTGGAGTCAGGAGGACCTGAGTTCAAATCCAGCCTCAGACATATGATACTTACTAGCTGTGTGACCTTGGGCAAGTCACTTAACCTCAATTGCCTTGCCAAAAAAAAAAAAGGATCTCAAGAGGGTATCCTACGAATTTACTTTGGCTGTTTACATATTTGCCCTTTTCATCAGCTGCCCTTACTACTCAGCAAAAGTTGTGGCTTTGAGGGAGACAACTATTGCCTGTAACTTCAACTTTTACCTCCTTTTTCTAGCAACAAATGAAGGTAAAGAGCCTAGAGGATGCAGAAAAGAATCCCAAAGCTATTGACACATGGATAGAGAGCATCTCAGAGCTCCACCGTTCCAAACCCCCAGCTACTGTCCACTATACCAGGTCAGGATTCCCTTTCCTTCCCAAAGTAGTCTTCTAGTCTGTGTTCTGGCAATCCTCATACCTTTATGCAGAGAGTAGGCATGGGGTTCAATCAATGCAATTCAATGAATATTTATAAGTACCAACTATATGCCAGGCACCAAAGAAAAATATCTAACCAAAGCCAACTGACATAGCAGTCTGATCACGTACACTAATTTCCATCTGTAGTCACCTACACCTCTGCTGAGAGAAGAAAAGCATGGTGTTCTTTTGACTTCCAATTCATTTTAATTTTTTTCAATTAACAAAAATCTTTTCCTCTACCATCTGCCCCGATTGGGGGGAAAAAAAACCTTTTGTAACAAATATACAAGTGGAAAGATGTTTTAAAATTAGCACATTGGCCATTTCTAATACATACATACATATATATTTATGTATATATACATATATATTTATGTATATATACATATACATGACATGTGTGTGTCTATGTATATATACATACATATGTTTCATTCTGTACCGTGACTTTATCACCTCTCTATCAAGAAGGCTAGATAACATATTTCATTATCATTCCTCTGGAATCAAGGTTGGCCATTGCATTGGTCAGAGTTCTTAAGTCTTCCAAAGTTATTTGTGTTTACAGTATTCTTATTATTGTATAAATTGTTCTTCTGGTTCTGCTCATCTCACCTCAGTCCATACAAGTCTTCCCAGGGTTCTCTGAAACCATCCATGTCATTGTTTCTTATAGCACATTAACATTCCGTTCTATTCATGTAGCATCATTTGTTTAACTATTCCCAAATGATGGGCATCCTCTCAGTTCCCAATTCTTTTCCATCATAAAAAGAGTTGTTACAAATATTTCTGTACATATGAGACCTTTTCCTCTTTCATTGCTGTCTATGGATTATAGACCTAGTAGTTGTATCTCTGGGTCAGAGTGTTTAATAGCTTTTTGGGCGTAGTTCAAAGTTGTTTTCCAGAGTGGCAGGACCAGTTCACACCTCTACCAACTGTGCATTAATGCACCTGTTTTCCCACAGCTCCTCTGCCAGTTGTCACTTTCTTTTTTGTCATTTTTGCCAGTCTGATGGGTGTGAGCCGAGGAACTCACGTTCTGATGGTGGAGGAAAAGAGTGCCTATAGAAGTTTTAACATGCAAGTCAGATAGAAAGTACAGATAGTCAAGATAGAGTACAGCAGCAAAGAAATGGTAACATATCTTCCTCACTAATGTTTCCACTGATAAAATCATATCATTTTCTGATGTTGAATCATCTGACAGTGCTAATTTGATGGTGAGAGTTTTCTTTTTTGGGTCTTCAGTAGCTGTGGCTATAGGACCTGCAGAAGCAGTTGCCAAGCCACATCTCCAGTGGGGTTGCTTCCCAAAATGATGACTTCAGGGCTGGTCTGAAAGCAGGATCTGGTCTAGGGGTGCTCTTAGGCCTACCTACGTATTAGTGTCAGTTGGTTAGCTTTTGGTGGCAAGGAAGATAGGACCCTTCTCTACAGTAATTGTTTCCCTAAATGATGGCTGGAAGGCCCAGGCCAAAAGCAAAGACCAGTGGTCTAGGGGCCACTGCTATTCCTAAGGCTCTCAGATTCAGGGTTATGGGCTGACTACTGGAATTGAAGAGGAGATTGTGGTCAAGGTAGTAGTGGTAGTTTTACTTGCTCTGCTGCCTCTGGTTTCTTCCTCAAGGTGTCCCATTGCCTCAGCCTTTTCTGATCTTCCTAGTTGTCAGTGCTCTCTCTTTCCTTAAGTTATTTTTTATTTACTTATTAACTTAAGATGTTGTAAACATGTTGGTGGAATTTAAACTCCTTGAGGGGAAGGGATCCTATTTTTCTTTTTGTTTTTGTATCCCTTGAACCTAGCACATAGTAACTACTTAATAAATGCTTGTTGAATTGAATTAAATTAACATTGGAACCAAAACTCAGGTCTTCTTTAAATCTTGGGTAAAATTAATATGTTTCCATTTGAGGAATCTTCCTCTGGGATTGAGCAAAGGGTAGTATTGGAAGGGGAAGATTCTTGATATCTTTTTCTTCTGTTAGACACAAATCTGATGTCATCAGTTTTTGCATCTTATTGACATTTGTCTTTGCCCTTCCAGGCCCATGCCAGACATTGACACTCTGATGCAGGAGTGGTCCCCAGAATTTGAGGAGCTTTTAGGCAAGGTGGGTAAAATCATAATGTACTGAGGGAGTGGGATATGTGCTAACAGGACTGTATTTGGTCATTAGTAGTGTTATTTTAGATTCATTAAAGGAGAGAGTCTTAAAAAAAACACTTATATGAAGTGCTTAGATAGAGAGATGGAGAGTCAGTGAAGGAGTGGTTAGAGAAGTAGGGATAGAGGCCAGGGGTGGGAAACCTATGGTTAGACCCTACTCCACAGGAGACTGGTGTCTTCTGAAGCCAAGAGGCAGGAGAATATCCAGCAGTAGGGAGGTATCAAAAGTGTCCTAAGCTACAGAGAGGTCAATGAGGATAAGGACTGAAACAAAGCCATTGGATTTACCTATTTGGAGGTCACTGGCCATCATTGAGAGCAGCAGTCTCCCCAAGCTTCAGTCCTTTGACTCATCCTCCACCTTCCATTCTATTTCTAGGTGAGCCTTCCCACAGCTGACATTGATTGTAGCCTGGCAGAATACATTGATATGATTTGTGGTAAGTTTCCACTATCCTCTCACTCCAGTTTCTGTAGCTTTTGTTTTTTTCACACCAAAATTTCAGAAATTCCCAACCCTTAATGAAGGGCTAGTACTACCTGTGGAAAATAACATCTTACCCCTACAAACTATTGTCTGTTACCTATGTGTCATTTGGAGTTGAGCCTAGATGCTGTTTGGTTAAAAGAGAGTGATTCCCACCCCACCCCCTCCACCCCATCCTGCTCCAGCCTCTGAAATCCATCTCTTCTGGAGTCATAGAAGTCATAAAATGGTTAAGTTCTTCAAAATATATGGAATTTTGGGGGCAGCTTGGCGGCACAGTGGATAGAGCACTGGCCCTGGAGTCAGGAGGACCTGAGTTCAAATCTGGCGTCAGACATGTAACACTCACTAGCTGTGTGACCCTGGACAAGTCACTTAACCCCACATGTCTCACAAAAAAAAAAAGAAAAGGAATTTTCCCCTCCAAGAAGAATAATGAATGTCCTGGAACATGAATAAATGAAAAAAAAAGTTATCAGGTGCCTGTTGTATGCTAGGCATGGTGCTTGATGTTAGGGATACAGAATCAAAAGTGAGATAGTTCTGCCTTTAAGAGACTTACATTCTAATAAGGGGAGAAACCACATAAAGGGTAGTGGTGTGCAGGGAAAGGAGATGGAGTCTGGAGAATCTCAGGAATGTTGAAAGGGCCTGAAGGGTAATCAGCTGTCACATCCTTACCAGAAGCCATAATCACTGTTCTCCCAGCAAGAGGTGGAAAGCTGGGGGTAGGAGATAGAAAGGAGTGGAATGGTAGGGTAGATGGCACAATGGCCTGATGGATATGAAGGCTCATCTAGAGATGGGAGGACATAATAAGTTAGGTGAGTCTGTACTTACTCTCCAGACAGCACAGGTCTGATGCCCATCCCCTTACCCCCACCTCAAGTAGGGTTCCAGAGCTGAGTGAATTAACTCCCCTAAGAAGGGGAATATGATCTTGAGAGGTCTGGTCCAGAGGATGCTGTTCCAAATGGGGAGAAGAAGGTATCATCAGTGTAGATGGCACGACATCCTCTGAGTTAAATGGATAAATATCCTATGACTTCCAGAATTGAGTTTGATCCTATTCCCAGCGATTTCTTATTTTAGCTATCCTGGACATTCCCATCTACAAGAGCCGGATTCAGTCCCTTCACCTGCTATTTTCCCTGTACTCTGAGTTCAAGAACTCCCAGGTAAGCATAGCACCAAGGACCAGCTGATGATACTATTGTGGAGAGAACTACAAGGCAGCAAAGACCCAGTGCTTCATGTACAGTTATCTCCATAAGAGTTTGCTGTGACAGTAGAGGATGAGTGTACACATCTAGGCCCAGCCTAGTAATTAATCCAAACACAAAAGAACAGAGACCAGCCAAGAAGGAGCAGTAGAGGGCGTTAGAGGAAGAAAATAGAGGGGTGTATCAGGTAAAGCTTAGCCAGAAGTCAGAGAGGAAAGCAAGTGATAGATGCTGAAACAAGGCAGGAAATAAGAAAGGAGTTCTTTTGTAACAGAGTTTGAAACAAACGTCTGGCTGATTTTGTAAGACATCACCAAAGAATTCTTTTGAGAATGAAGTGATGAGTTACTGGCATATCTCTAATATTCTCTTATTTTTTCTTTCCTTAGCATTTCAAAGCCTTGGCTGAAGGAAATAAAGCAGGCACTCCTCCATCCAATCCCACCTCCCAGGCTGGAGATGCAGAGACACTAACCTTCAGCTGAGCCCCCATAAGTCTTTCTGTCTCAAACCTCACACCTGGATCCTTCATCCCAGCTGAGAAGGGGAAGTTGATCTCAGCCAAGCTCAAATCTTTGCCATGGGCCATACTTCTACTCCAGGAAAGACCATTCATTCCCTTTTGTTGCCCTCTAGCAACTCAGAGAGAGGTCAGAGAGCACTGCAGACACTTGATAAAAAGTGCTTACCTATCTTAGCCTCTGTTTTCACCCCATCCCATATCCCTTCCCTCAGGACGTGGGTATTCATACTACAGGGGTTTGAGTTAGAAGGATATTCCATGCATCTTGGAATTTCAGAGACACTAGGGAATACAGATTGGGAGAGATGAGGAAACCTAATAGCTGTCTTATTTGCAATAGGAAGGACCTGTTATCTTTTTACTCATAGGGTTTATTGGCATAGAAATTAAAAATAAAATATTTTATCTGTTAGACTTTTTTTCTGTTTTAGGAAAGAGGAAATGTTGACTGATGACTAAGAAATTTGATGTATACCAAAGGCATTAGTAGCAGTTTAAGTAAACCTTTTAAATCCGACCTGGTACCCTCATTTTTCCTGAATGAAGGCTGTTGATAGCTACAACCAACCCTGCAACAAATTTTTCTCTTTGTATTTTTGACCCAGTATGTCAGGCCCAGGGGTACAACCCCCAGTTGTATCCTTGCTCTTTAGCTGGGTACCAGTGAACCTCTGGTATTAAGTCTGATGGAAAGGAAGGAAGCAGATATGCTATGGGAATAAAATGTTCCTTGAGGCTTTTATGAAAATTAGGAGATCATTCCAGGCTATCAGGAAAGTTGTAGACCCCCTATTGCCTTGGGTAGAGGTGAAGCCAGCAGCCAGTTACTCAGTTCTTGTGCCTGGACTAGTGTATCAGCCTCTCATATGATCTCCCTGTTCCAATTTATCTAACATATAACTGCAAGAATAATCTTCAGTTTCCAATGTATGTAACCCCCCAGGACATAACTGAGTGACTCCCTATTGCCTGCTTGCTTTGTGATCCTTCAGCAAATCACTTAATTGTTAATATTTCTCAGTTCCCCCTTCAGTAAAATGGGGAAATAATTTCTAATCTACCCATCTTGTAGGATTAGCAGTGAGGAAGAAAATGAAATAATATTAGAACAAACTTTTCAGTATCATACATATACATTCCATTTCAATAAGCATTAAGTATTTATTATTCAAATCAGTAAATATTTATTAACCATTTATATGTGCCAGGCACTGTACTAAGCACTAGGAATACAAATAGGAAAAAGACAGTCCCTGCCTTCAAGGAGCTTACTTTCTCATAAGGGAAGACAGTACACAAAAGGAAGCTGAAAGGGAGCCTCAGGGGTACCTAGCACAGGGACATGATGTTAGTGGAATCTGGAAAACAAGAAGAGTCAGTGGTAGAAAATGAAGTAACCTGCAATGAAGCCCTCTGCAAAGGAGGCTTTGGGGGGAGCTCATTGCTCTGCTTCTAGCCCTCCTGTCAGAGAGGGGAGGCAACGGGAGAGAGAAGTGTGAAGTATCAAACACTGAGTCAGGCTACAGAGTGATGAGCTTATGCTGGGAGAGCACCTCGGCACCAAGCAGAGCTGCTGATGGAATAAAAAGATTACCTGCTAAGGGGGTCCCTCTCATCTTCTTTTTCATTACTGCCCAACTTGGCCTCTGCTTTTGTCAAGCTAAGCTGACTTCAGTTGTCAGAGCTGGAACAGACGTAGAGTTCATATACTTCAACACATTTTGCCATAAGGAAACAGATTAGGGTACATGTAGTCTCGACTCCTAATTCTTTCTATTATACCGCCTTGCACACTTCACGCCTTCCCACCTCTGAGCTTTTATGGAAGCCAGTTCCACTGCTTAAAATGTCTTCTTTCTCTTCTCTGCTAATCCATAACCTCTTTTTTCAAAATACTTCCATGTTTCCATTACCTATGGTCATACTGATGACACAGCATAGTACAGTAATGAGGGATAAATTCTGAGCCAAGGACACAGGTTCCATTCTCAGGATTGTTGCTTATTAGCTAGCTGTGTCATTTAACCTCTCAGTTAAGTGCCTCAGTTTCTTCATCTGTAAAATAAAGGGATTGGATTAAATTATATTTAAAATTCCTTTTCAGGAATTCCCTTTCTAGATAAGGGTACTCTACAATAGTGCAGATTACAATCCTGCATTTTCCTATCCTGTGCAATTCTTGTCCATACCCTAACCTAAACCATCTGTTAGAAGCCTACTCATTCTGGGGACCTTTCTCTAAAGTCATTTTAACATTTTGTTGGTACCAGTGTAACAATTGGGCTCTCTCTGGCTGTTCTTTCCTCTTTATGTGAACATGATGACTTGTGGCATACATTTTCTGGATGATATCTTTTACATCCAAGGTGTTAGTAGGGAACAGGAAGGCTTTACATGCAGCATTTCACAGTAGACCAAATCTTAGTCATCACATAACTGACAAAAGTGGAGCAGGCAAAATCTTACTGTGTTCATTAGTGACTTTTAAAAAGCATTTGATTTGGTAGAGTACGTCATCAAGGTATGTCTCATGCACACATCAAAACTATGGAAGATTTCTTGAAAGTTATATAACCTTGTTCAATGACATTTCTGATCATGTATGTGAGGTGGGACATAAAATAGGGAGATGTACATTCATCAAATGTGTTCACCGCTCTCTGAATACCATAGTCCAAGCTAAAGGAGCTCCTTTGGATGGTGATGTCCTCTAGATGTTCCTGTTTGCAGATAATATTGTATTAATAGCATCAAGCCGCAGCACATAGCAGAGCCTCCTGGATAAAACCTATAACCTCTCAAAAGAGGGAGGCCTAACCATCTACATGTAAAAAGTGGGTGAAAACTACCTACTGTCCGGATTGTGACAAAGTTAGATGAACGACCCATAGAGCTCACTTGAATATATGCATCTTGGACAGACTCTGCAAGTAGACAATGAGTTATGCCCCAAGTTAAACATGAAGAGGAAAGAAGATGGGATTGTCTTGGGGAGTTTAGAAGACTTTTATGGCCCTCAAACCTTTTTTTTTTTTTCTGAAGCAGAGGTTTATCTTTTTAATGGAGGTATGTTTCAGGTAGCATTGTATGGCTAAGTCAGGGAACATTATAGCCGCTGAGGAATTAAAAATGAGTATAACAGAGGGCAATTGAGGGGTGCACGGTGGGTGTGAGCAGGGCATAATGTAACAAATAACTACAAAGTATGCTTAGAATAAAGGAGTCCCTAAAAGAAATATATGACTCAAAATGAAGATAGGCTGGTCACATGATGAGAGGGAAGGATTACTAACAGCCCATGCACTTCACTGGACTCCTTGAAATGTCAAGAGAATATGAAATTTCCCAGTATGTGCAGATTTCCTGTGATAAATCGGGGGGACACATTAGCAAGAATCACATACGCAGAAAGGAAGACATGGACGGCTTGCTATCTGCATTTTTGGAAGGAATGTCCACATTGATGCAATCCCAGCCATTTGCATATTTGAATATTATATCACTTTTAAAACTTCGTTTTTTAAAATTTATTAGGAACTCAACAAAAATCAACAAGCACAAATATTTCCATATACAAAGAATGGAAAAAGAATATTGTATAGGAAACCATGAGTTTCCATTAGTATAGCTTGTTTTTCTGAAGTATGTATTCAATTTAACATGGTAGTTTCATCACTGCCCTGCTTGTCTGCATCACCTTCTGAATATCTTGCTTTCTTCTGTCTTTTAAAAAAAGTTTCACTATGTCTTTTTTTTCTATTACTATCACTACCCTCCATGCCTCCCATAATCCTCCCTAACCCCCCAAGATAAAAACCTCTCTCTTATAATAAATCAGCATAATCAAACAACAAATTCGCATATTGGCCATGGCTGAAAATATGTCTCAGTTCTACACCTCTAATCCATCACCTCTGTCAAGAGGAGGGATTCATCATCAGTGTTCTGAAGTAATGATTGGTCATTGCATTGTTAACAATTCTTATGTCTTTCAAAGTTGGTTTTCCTTTGCGGTATTGCCATTATGTAAATTATTTTGGTTCTGCTCACTTCATTTTACATTAGTTCATACAGGTCTTCCCAGGCTTCTTTGAACTGGTCTCTTTCATAATTAAAGCACGGTAATATTGCATTTTACATTTACATACCATAATTTGTGGAACTATTCCTCAATTGATAGGCTACTGTCTTGTTTCTAGTTCTTTGCTGCAACAAAAAGCACTGATATTAGTATTGTGATATGAGTCCTTTTCAGGGGTGTGCTCTTGAGGTCCAATTGTTAAATTTTCAGTGTGATCATTTATACCTCAGAAATTGTCAAACTACCAGTCAGGGCTGGATTTATTGTTTTTGTTGATTGTCTACATTAAAAGTGTTGGAGAAAGTAATAATAATGCAGATTAAACTTAAAAGTCTACTGTAAGTAGTTTTGGTTTTTTGTTTGTTTGTTTTCACAGATCTGGTTGATTTACAAGGCTATCTGTGGGTCCCTGTTTGTTGTGTTTTTTTGCTTTTTACTTCTGGGGCATATACCTAAATAGTGATATCTCTGGTTGAAAGGTACGCACCGTTTAATGACTTCGGGGCATAATTCTAAATTACAGAATATGTGGACAACAGCTCCATAAACAGTGCATTAATAGGCCTATCTTCCCACAGTCCCTTCAACAATTGTCATTTTCCATTTTTGTCAGTTTGATGTTGTGGAATCTCAAAGTTGTCTTGATTCGCATTTTTCTTATTATTAGTAATTTGGTATATTTTTTCATATGGTAGTTGATAGCTTGTGTTCTCTTCTTTTTTGAGAGCTGTCTACTCATATCTTTTGTTCTATTGGGGAATAGCTCTTATTATATTTTTGCATCAAGTCTTTATGTATTGATATGTAAATATTCGTTGATACATACTGTTGCCAATCAGAACTATCAGTACACAGAGACATAGGAGGTAAGACCTAGGTTTATTAAATATATGATTCAGCATAGAACCAGAGTTCTTAATTAACTCAAGCCTTGAACAACAATTTCCTGAAACTTATATAGCATCCACATCAGAGAGAAAGAAGGAAAAGATTTAATTTTGGATTTATAGATGTCAGGAGAAAGGAATTTATAGTTGCCAAAAGGAGAAAGTAAATATTTACTTTCACTCATATAATTGTAAAATTTACACTTCAAAGATATGTTTGTTAAATATTTAGTAGGTTAATTGAGAGGAAAGAAGGTTTACATGTCAAAAGATAACTGAAGAAGAAAAATCACATCAGATCTGGCTGTAGAATTTATCAATAAATAAGAAGGGAGAGTCTGAGATTTACAGCCATCAGGTGGGTATCATAAAATTCCTTTCCCTCTTTCCCATTTCTTATCTCAGGCAAAATAATTGGAAGTCTCAGCTAATTTATCACGCCATAAGGAAAGCCTCAGCCAGTTATGTGATTGTCCTTAAAAATAAAACTAGCATTGTGCTATAAGAAATGATGAACAGGCTGACTTCAGAAAAACCTGAAAAGACTTGTATGATCTGATGCTGAGTGAAGTGAGCAGAACCAGGAGAATGTTGTATACAGTATCAGCCACATTGTGCAATGACTAATGTTGATAGACTTAACCCTTCTCAGCAATACAAGGATCTAAGACATCTCCAAAGTCCTCATGATGGAAAATGCTATCCACATACGAAGGAAGAGCTATGGAGTTTGAATGCATATTGAAACATATTATTTGCTATTTTTTTTCTTCTGTTGTGTTTTGTTTCCTCTTTCTGGTGGTTCCTCCTATTGGTTCTAATTCTTACTTGCAACATCACTAATGTGAAAATATGTTTAATAGGAATGTATATGTATAGCCTATATCAGATTGTGCCTTGTCTTGGGGAGGTAGGTGGGGAGGGATGGGGAGAAAAATTTAAAACTCAAAAGCTTATGGAAGTGATTGTTGATAATTCAAAATAAATTAATTAAAAAAATAAAAATAAAAGTGGCCATGCTAGACCCAAATAATGAAAGAAAAACTAATTTGAAACTCTTTGAGAGGAATTTGTTACAAACGTGTTTTTCGCAGTTAAACCGGGAAATTCTGTCTTCATTTTGTTTCTATAAAAACTTTGTAATTTTTATGCCTTCAAAATTGTCCATTTTATCCCCTGTGAATCTCTTTATTCCTTATCCCTTGTCTGATCAAAGAACTCTCCCACTCTCCACAGTTGTAAAAAGTATCTTCTTTCCTTTTCCTCTAATTTCTTTATTATTCTGAATGTGACAAACACCAAGAAACAAGAACATTCACCATATACAAAGAATAGAAAAAAAGGATTGATTATATCAGCCTGTGTTTTAAAAATGTATAAAGTCACTATATTAGTTTCAAAGATGAATTGCCTCTCCCTCTGAAATTCTTTCTCTTCTGTGCATTTTTCAGTATTCTTGGTGAAATTCATGTTGTTTCTTTTACTTTTTTTTGGCATCTGTATCCCTAGCACTATTTCCCCCTGATGTTATTGGAAAGACCCCTAGAATTTCTCCTTTACACATAATGACAGCTCTCAATTTTAGACAGAAATTATTTATCATCTTAAGAAAACATTTGTTCCTATACTTAAAAGAATTTTTAAAAATCATGAATGAGTGTTGTATTTTGTCAAAAGCTTTTTCTATATTCATATGGTAACTTTATCGTTATGTCTATTTTCTGTTATGTTTATAGTTTTCCTAATATTGAACCAACCCTGTATTCCTAGTATAAATCCAACCTTGTCATAATGTATGATCTTTTTGTTAGGTGCCAGAGCATCTTGCTCCTTATATGACAGTGATGAGAATGCTGCTTCCTCCAGCACCTAATTTTGGATTGCCTCAGCAGAGTGCCCTGGACAGAGCTCATTTGTCCATTCCACAATCCCATGCTCATTGTCAGCCATTAGGGAAGCCTCTTGGTCCCTGGTGGTCTTTTAGTGTTCCAACCACATATGCCTACTTGCTCATTATCTAAATAACCAGTTACCTTCCTAACCAGGATAAGGAGGAATCAATCCCAAAGCATTTATTCAATATTTATTCTGTGCTGGGAATCCAAAGAAAAAGTCAAAAAGGATACCTCCTAAAATATTATTGATTTTTCTTACTACCCAGGAAAAAAAAAAGAATTCAATTCAATATATAATTTACCTCCAAATTTCATCAAAAAGACTATTCTCTCTACATCCAGAAACAGATTTTAGGAGGACAGTGTGATAGAGTAGGCAGTGTTAGATTTGGAGTCAGAAGACCTAGGTTAAATCCTGCCTCTGCCATTTATACCTTGTGTGATGTTGGGCAAGTCACTTAACCTGGATGAGTCTCAGCTGTAAAATGAGGGAGTTGAACCAGATGACCTCTAAGATCCCTGCCAGGTTGAAATCTTGTGCCTTTGAATGTGTTACTCCCCCTGCTCCCTTCCCAAGACAAAAAGATCCCTGTTAAACCCGGCCAACCAAGTTACTTGTTAAAAAGTCAGAAATATTTACTTGGTAAACTCTTTGGTTTCTCTGCTTCTTCATTCCCTTATCAGTAAAATTTAATTTTGAAGAATTCCAACCTTGTCTCAGGTAAACTGCAGGGAAAAGGGTTTTTCCCCACCCCTCCCACATCCCCACAGAAGGTATCAATTAGGGCTTTTCAAATATGGTTCTGGCATCCATTTCGTTGTTGTTTGTCCTTCTCAAAGAGGACAATGACATCAAGAAGGTAACGTCATGACATGCAAGTAAATTGGATTTAAGTGAGGGAGGACTGTACAAAGTCACCAGCCTCACTTTCTCCTCTGGAGCCATCTTGGTCCAGTGGTGAGATACAGATCAGGACAACTGGAGATGGCCCTGGATGGCTCTGGCATCCGTTTCAGAGAATAGGAAAAGCTGTAGCAGCTGGGAGAGAGGATAAGATCAATGTGGTACATGGGCCTGGTTGTCCCAGGTCTGCCACTTAACTAGCTTTGTGGGTCTAAGCAAGCCATTAAATTTTGTTGACCCGTGATGTTCTTGTGAGAGACAGTACAGCCTGGTAAGTAGAGAATTTGTCTCAAAGTTGGATTCAATTCCCATTTTTGACACATTCTGACTGGATGACCTGGGAAAGTCATAACCTTGCCCCCCACTCCCTCATCCCTGCTCTAAGCAACTCTTAAGTAGCACAGAAGTTGACACCTTGCATAGACAGTCTCCTCATAAAGGGGGTCTTTATTCCAGAGAAATTATAGATCCAGTCTCTTTCCCCCTAAAGTGAAAAGTTTTGGGACCACCTGGGCCACTCCACAGATTCTCCCAAAACAGAAGACATGGTCCCTGCCCTTAATAAACTTAACAGTATGTTTGGGAAGAAAATATAAGTATACATGAAGTCAATCCTTTTATTGAGCACTTGCTATGTATTCAACATGGTGCTAAGCAATAATATGACAGATTTTTACGAAATATTAAAAAATACATTCTGTACTATCTTAACTTCCCGTCACTTGTAGGTTGCTTTTTAAGTGTTCTTAAATCATCTTGCTGTTGTGTAAATATTCATGCTGCCTAGGATCTTGAGGCATTTGGGGGCATTGCCCTAGGAGTGGACATCCAGGCATCCCTTAATGCCCAAGAAGACACTAAGCAGCAGTATAAGAATCAGTGGTGGTCTCTCTTTTATGCTTAGATTGCTGTTCTGGATCACCTTCTTATGGGGAATCAGTGGATGGAAGGGGAAGAAGGAGGACAGGTTTTGTCTTTGGCAAATTCCTATGTCTGCCATTTATTCTTGGTTGGGCTAAACCTCATCAAGCCAGTCAGGGACAGCATAACACCCACGAAGCAACAGCCACCATTTTTTAAATTATAAAATTTGCAGAAAAGTGGGCAACCACTTGTTGGGTATGTAATAATGGTGATTCCTTTCCTGGACGGGCTGAACTAGATGACTATCTCAACAGCTGTTGAGGTCTCTTACAACTCTCAAATTCTGATTCTGTGAAAACAGGTCAGTGCCACTTTGTCAGCTCTATAATTATTTTGGTAGATTCATTAGAGTAAGATTCCTGCATACAACTCTGAGTCAGACTTCTCCACTAAAGGATTATATATTTCCTGTGGGCAAGAACTATATTGTATCCTCTGTGTCCATTGTGTCTCTTTTCCCCCTCCCCAGGCTGCCAATGCACCCCCAAGGACCCTGGGCATATCACTAATGCTACTGACTGACGGAATGATTTCTTTTAGCCATGGCCATCCCTCTCTGGAAAGAATTTCCTTTGGAAAAAAATGGCAGCTTCATGGGACATGATGACCTTGGTTTATTGCTGCCAAAGGATGGATACCACACAAATCAGGGCTGGAGGGTTGGAGGAGGTGGGAGTGGAGTAAGTAGAACATGAGGAGAAGAAGAAGAGGCAGAGCACAGTTTTGACAGGGGAAACCCTAGGCCTGTTGGGCCTAGGGCACTCACAGTGAATCTCTAGAAAGCCTCAAATGTAGGAGAAACATCAGAGACAAAGCAGAAGCCCTTGGGCTCTTAGTCATGCCCCCTCCCCTATGGGACATTCTTAAAGTGCTGACATTGCAAGGACAGGTGCATAGCTTCATGCCCTTTGGAGGGCGTTACTAGGTCTCCTTCCCTCCTTTTCTGCCTAACTTTTGCTGATGCCCAGAACTAACATTGCTCACAGCAAAGATGCTTTGGGTCCATCAAGGAGGTGAGGAAAGCCCATCTCCCACACCCACCCCATCGCTATATGTAGTACCCATGAGGAAGCAGAGGCAGGCAGGGAGGCTTTCAGCCAAAAGGAAAAGGTTGTGCTTAGCTTAGCCCATGCCAATGTGCCAGGGCTGGCACACAAGGAAGGGACAGTTTGATTTCTGCCTGAAAGAAGTGAGGCATAGATAGTTAAAAGAGGAGCAAAGAACAGTGCCCAGGGCATGCAGCATTCTCCCTATCCACCCCGCTTGGCATGCTCCCCATATCCATTGTATAAAGTGCTAAAGAAGAGCAGGGTTATGGTTTTGAGATGTCAAGAAATGCCATGTCCTCTCCTGGCAGTTACATGCTATTTCAGCACAGCTGCATTCAGCTTGGGTAATTGTTACATCATTACCCAAGCCTCAAAACCAACCTGAGTTAAAATGAAGTGACCAGTTCTCAGGGGCAGCCTCAACCCCATGCCTAAGAGAGTCTGATTGCAATTTGAGGTCCCAGTGATACCAGTCAAACTCATATGGATAACAAAATTACCTCCCCAGCCAGGAAGGTAAGGGCAGGCCCAGGAGAGGAGCAAAGGGCCCCCAGAAGAACAAAAGGACTTCCCTCTACCCTGCCCTCTTGCTCACAGCCAAATCTCATCACTGCTCATACTGGATGCCCGATAGATGTAGCCCAGCATCGGAAGATGTACAAAACCTGTGGATGAAAGGGATCCAGAACTTGAGCTCCCAGTGTCATTGAGGAAGAGATGCTTAGTCTATGTGCCAGCCCTCTCTCTCCAGGGAACCTCACTCTTGGAGAGCTGGTAGCATAGATGCCTAGGTTCCTTCCATGTCCTCTAGGGGTTACAGAATCTATATAAATGGGCATATTGGGCAGGGGAGATGAGGAGGTAGGGAGGTACCCATTTTCCTTGCCCTGGATACCTTGGCTCGTGAAAAGGACACCATTCTCAGGGTCCAGGATGTCAGGCCTCTTGGTGTTCTGTGGTATCTGTCCATCAGTTGGTTTGGCTGTTGGATGATAAAGATGGTGGTGCCTGGTGCCCTCCAGTGCCAGAGGAGTTCCTTCTGGTGCCCATGCTCCCCTTCCCCCGGTAGGTCTTAGGGGATTGCAAACTCGGGAGCCAACCCACTGGACAAGGACATGGAGGAGGGTGGTGCCAGAGGAGGGCACTGGGGAGAGACCATATGGCATGGTCTCTAGTCATCTCACAATGCTGTTCATCCTCTTCTGAACCCACTCTAGATTTTCAATGTTCTTCCTAAAATGTGGTACCCAGAACTCAACAATACACTTTGCCTGACCACAGCAAAATATACACCACCTCTGGCGTTCGGAGTGAGATCATTGAGTTGCAGGTTGGAAGGGAGGGACATGTTTTCCCGGGGCAGTCGCACATTGTTGAGTTTCAGATTGTTGGAGTCACTGCAAGGTAGGTAAATGCTGATATCACCCTTGACACCAGCTGGGACGTGTTCTCAATTTGTGGTATGGCCCAGACCTACCAACCTCGAAGAAATCTCCCCAACGCCCACACTGTGTATCAGTCCTGCCCATTGTCTGGCAACCCGCCCACCATCCTACCCAGACTGAGGGTACATTACCTGGAGAGGAGAGATGGGCGCCGAGAGGTGCCTGGGGAAAAAGAAGAGGGTGGGCCCACTGACTACACCCCACCCCAGTGCACTAACTGCCACCCCAGCTGGGGAGGTGCTCTCACATGCCCCTTCTCTGACACGAGAATTCATGACTTCTCACATCTCACCGTCTCACCCCAAGCCTCATTGCTCTGGGGTCTCCTCCACCCTGCCCACTCCCCAGGCAAACCCTCTCCAGCTGGCCCGTGCAACTTGTTCTGCCCAGCTCCCTCTGTTCCAGATTTGTTCGGTTCGGCCCCATGCTCACCATGTTTGATCTGTCTCTACCTCTGTCCCCACTCAGCAATCTTATTATAGGTTCTATCTTTATACTTCCTCTTCCCTGTTTTCACTCACAGCGTCCCTCCCCATCCCTGTTATCTGTACACACACCGCCCTCCCTCCCATGCCTTCCACTCCTATCCCTACCTGTAGTCTTTTTGTCCTTCCTGCAGACCAGGCAGGCCACCAGAGTGCTGAAGCCCACCAGAGTGCCCAGACCAAGGGCTCCAGCCACAACAATACCCAGCATCGGCACTTCCACCTGGGTGGCCAGGAGCCCTGTGGGGCATCCCTTGGTCAAGCCCAGGCAGGCAGTGTCCCTGCCCATCCCGACATGCAAGGGGAGAGAAGCCCTGGGTTCCTGTGGGCAAGATGCCCTGGCAGGAGTTACCTCTAGCAAGTTGCCTAGTGCAAACTCCTGGTCTTCCAGTGAGAGATCCTCTTGTCTTTCCCATGTGCTGCCTGTGCCCACCCCAACCTTTGGCAATACCTATGCCAGTTCCTGTCAATGCTTACCCTTTGGATGGGAGGAGCGGTCTCTGTTCCACACCACCCATATCCCTCTGAGCTTTGCCTGACTCACCTGGGGCTGGGAGGGAAGAACTAGTGACACCCACGCCATTGGCGGCCACCACAGAGAGGTTCTGGGCCTGGCTGTGGAGCTGTAGTTGCACAGTATGGTTGGTGAGCCACGGGTAGCTCTGAGCATCCAGCACCAGGAAATCAGAAGTGTTGACAGTCACAGGTCCATCCCGGTCAATCCATGTGACATTGGCAGGTGGGTTGGCCCGCACCAGGGCAAACAGGACAACCAAGAGCCCTGGGCCCTGGGCTTCTTGGTACTTGGCTCCAACCTGGGCAATCTCTGGTTTGACTGGGGCAAAGCAGAAGCCACCCTACTCCTATCAATGGTCTTACATCACTCCCCGCACCAAAATTCACCCACATATAATTTTTGGGAAGGGAGGAGACTAAGGACTTAGGCACCTGGGACCTCAGCTCAGACATGGCTGCGGCTCTGGATACCCAGGGTCACTTCTCAGATAGGGCTGGGGTCAGGCTGCTTTGGGCCTCTTCTCATATAAAGAATGAGATATGGCAAGATCTGGATCTGGGCATTAAGATCAGGGGAGAGGAAATAGGGCCCATGAGTTCTTTCTGAGCATGCCATGTAAGTAAGAGACAGGAAAGTAGGCTGCTTTGGTCTGCCCTCCCAGGTCTCATACCACCAGGTACTGGAGGTAGCAGCACCTGGACAGACTGGGAGCCGATGGCTAGGGTGGAGGGGATTGGCACTCCAGGAGTACAATGCAGAGAGCCCTCTCCTCCATCACCCTTCCCCACCCCAGCAGACACTCACACTGCACATTAAGGATGACCGAGGCATTGGCCACCCTCCTGGTGTCTGGATCCTGCAAGGAGCAGTTCAGCTCATGTTGAGCCCTCTGAGCGGTGATCGTAAAAGTGCTAGTGCTGCCTGTGAAGGCCTCCCCACCCACACTCAACAGCCTCGACGTGTTGGCCTCCTGCAATTGTCCATCCAGGTACCAGGCCAGCCTCGGAGGGTCATGCCCACCTTCCACTTGGCAGGTGAAGGCATGGCGTTCATTCTCCCTCAGTGCCCGCTCTGCCCACGTCTGCCCATCGATCTGAGGCGCCAGCTCCCCCTGGCCTGGAACAGAGTAGGGGCCCCATGATTGAAGGGCCTTGGGAATGCTTAGGATTCAGTAATGGAGACATCAAAGGAAGTGTGCAAAGACAGAGTAAGGTAGGGATATAAGTCACGCTGGGGTGTAGGGGACTACTATGAAACATACCATGGCAAGAAAACCAAATGCTCAAGAAGTCACATGAATGGGGACCTAGGAAGAGAGAGGCAAGGCAGCCTCTGAGATTCCCCTCATGAGCGAGAGAAAGAAAAGGAAATGTTCTAGGTCTGGTATCGCCAGGTACTGGGGTGGCTGGCACCTGGACAGACCTGGGAGCCTGATGTCTAGGATAGAGGGGAATCAGCACTCCAGGAGCACTGAAGGTGAGTGGACACCAGGAGGGGTCAGGAGGAGGTAGTGATGGGGTACCTGAGCTCAGCAAGGCCTGTACTAGCAGCAACGTGGGAGGGAGTGCAGCGAGGGTCCAGGAAAGCATCATGGTCAGCCCCAGTTTGAACCCCTTTTGGCTCCTGGGGGCAGGGGGAAGAGGCCTGGGGGTGGGAGGAAGGAAGAAAGGGAGGGCAGGCACAAGGGCCTCCTCCCATACACATATACGTGTAGAAAACACATGCATGTGCATAGATGCCCAGAAACAGACATATACATGATAAACATATACTTTTACAGACATAAGCACAGAAACACACAGTAGCTTCTATAGGTAATACACACAGAAACATGTGCATATACACACTGAAATATGCATGCATAGAAAACACACACACATAGAAATGCACAGGCAAAGAAAGCGTGTCCCTCCACCTGAAGGTCATAACCTCTCTCCTTCCCCAGGCGTCTCCTCCCACCCCCTCTCTCAGGCCATACCCCTTCCTCTGCTCTCTTTCCCTGCCTTTGACTTCTTTCCTCCTTTCTGCGTGTTGGGGGTGGGGGGAGGGACAGGTGGGGTGTGGGGAAGGTTTCAGCTTTGGGACCAGTTGCAAGTAGCAGGCAGGGCATCTGGGCAGTGGGATGGGGGAGTTGCCAGGGAGAAGTCCCTGTGGTGGACAGCCCCTCCCTGGGGCCTGGGCCTCTGACTCCATGCCCCGGGCATCACTCACCCGGGATCCCTCCCCTGTCAAACCCTGGTCCAGGCTCCTCTCCAGGACTGGGGACAGCAACTGCTCAGGTCTGATGAATACTGCAGTATGATGCAGGGGCTCGGAGCATGGGCAGACAGGGCCAATCAATACCCGATCTGCCATCTCTTCCTGGGGGAAAGCTAGACCGCCAGACCCCCTCCTTCTGGGGTGGGAAGCGAGGGGGCATGAGCTCCCACCCACCTTCTGTCATGGCCAAAGCACCGTAGGCGTGCACACACACGCCCCCCTGCTGCTTCAGCCCTTCAGGATGCATCCCTCATCAGCGGGAGTGGTCCAAGAGTGTGAGGTGTTCTCAGGGAATTTCTAGTGTCTGGGACCTTGCTCCCCAGGAAGAAACAGTGTGGGTGGTGGTGGGGCAACTCTAGAGCCCAGCTGGTCTGGAGGACCTCTCACGGCCCCTCCTCTTATCTTATCGATGTGCTGTAGTGGAAAGTGGTAGAGCTGGGAGCAGCAACACCCAAGTGCAAATTCCATCTCTGCCACCGTGTGAGCGTGCGTGTGCCATAACTCTCTGAGTCTGGGTTTCATCATTTTTTAAACCAATTTAGAGCTGAAATCACCTACTTGAACTTTCTAATATCACAGTTAAGGAAACTGAGGCACAGACAGGGGGTGACTTGCACAAAGTCACATAGGCAGTAAATAACAGACAGGATTCTAACTCAGGACCTCTGACGCCATGACACCGTGATGCCTTTCCTTGATACCCCAAGAAACTGAAATGATCTTGGCATGCCTGGAGTTTGACCCCAGATCTCCTGACCCTAGACTCTGTGCTCTTTCCATTGGACCACACTGCCTGCATTACTGCTGAACTGAATAGAGACCCTGGTGGTGTAGTGGAGAGAGCTGGGGAGTCTGGGGTCAGAGGATGCAGGCTTCAATCCAGACTCTATAACTTTCGACCTTGCTTGACCTCTGGGCTTCAGCGGGACTAAACGACCCCAAAGGCTCTCAAACTCAGACGCTTTAATTGGCTGCGCTGGCCGAGCCCAGAGAGGACCAGGAGTCAGGCTGGAGCGCAGGCGGCTTTATTGGGTTGGCGGCTGCCCCTCCTGGGCTGCCAAGGTCCCCAGGCAGGGGGCGCCTCTGCTCAGGGCTCGCTGATGCCCTGCAGCTGTCTCATCATGTCAGTCAGCATCCGGTTGCACAGGGCCGCGTACGGGTTGAGCAGGACCAGCTGGCGTCGGGCAAAAGGGCTGCCCAGCCCGGCCGCTTTCTGGAAATCGCTTCTGGCGTCATTATCTCTGCCCTGCAGGCGGGCCACCAGGCCCCTCTGGACATAGCTCTGGCATGCCACCTGTCCTCGGCCCCGACTCAGCAGGATGGCGCGGTCCAGGTCCTCCAATGCACCTACAGCACAGAGGAAAACGCATGGAAGGTGGTTAGGAGGAGACGCGGGCTGGAAGAAGACTTCCTGCAGACGTCTCTCTTTGGCACAGAGAGAGGCGGAGGAATTTCCTGGAGAAGAGTTGCTGTGCCCCCTGATGGTCATGTTCAGAACTGCAGCTTCCTTCTCCCCTCTCCTCCCATTCCCCACCCCCACCCCAGGCTGGCGGATGGTCCAGAGAGATTTTTTGGTCAGATGTGATGTGGCTTGGATTAAGCAATGAGGTGGGATGGAGAGCGCACTAGACTTGACACAGAGAATACTCAGGTTCAAACTCCACCTCAGCCATTTAGTTATTAGCTGTGTGACTTTGGAATAGTCAGTTAGGTGGCACAATGGACAGAGTACCAGCCCTGGAGTAAGGAAGGCCTGAGTTCAAAGCTGGCCTAAGGAAGGCCTGAGTTCAAATCTGGCCTCAGACCCTTACTAGCTATGTGACCCAGGGCAAGTCACTTTAACCTATTTGTCTCAGTTTCCTCATCTGTAAAATGAGCTGGAGAAGGAAATGGCAAATCACTCCAGTATCTTTGCCAAGAAAACCCCAAATGGGGCCACAAAGAGTCTGGTGTGACTGAACAACAACAACAACGTGAAGATGATTCCCAGATTTATATATGCAGACAGCAGCCATGAGGGACAAAATGGGAACTAAAATCAATTTATTCATCCCAACCCAAATATCAAACAGGCCTGAGGAGTTGTCTTCTGGGTTGGTTTTTTTTTTTTTGGTTTTGTTTTGTTTTTAGGCAATTGGGGTTAAGTGACTTGCCCAGGGTCACACAGCTAGTAAGTGTCAAGTGTTGAGGAGTTGTCTTCTGAAAGCAGAGAGGCTGTCCAAAAAGAGAAAAGGACTCGATTGAATAGATTATTTGCTGTGCTGGCTGGGTGTGACCTTGGGTCTGACCAACAAAAGAGTTTAAGTAACTTGAAGCTCGGATTGTTTCACAGAAGAGCAATTATTGCTCTCTGAGAGGAAGAAGCTTGGTGGGGAGAGCAGCCCAGCCACGGGGGACATCAGCCGCGCTGGGAAAGGCAAGGACCACAAACAGCAGCTTCAGAGGCTGAGAGCTGCTCCAGTGGGCCGCAATCTTAGGAGGATTAGCTGTTGGGGGGAAAGGCGTCTCCTCTTCGACTTGTGTTGTGGGAATCAGTGGGAAGTTGTGCATTTGGGGGAAATTTACCTTTTTTACTTATTTTGCTGTTCTCTTTCTTTAAATGCCTTTTGCTTTGAATTAATGATAGTTTGGCCCTGGAAAAGTCAGACATTAGGTGGAGGCTCATGAGGTGAAACTCGATGTAGCTGAGAGGCACCTAGTCTATGTTCACATTACTCTTTTGGTTCTGCTGTGCTAATTCTGCATTACTTCACAGCATGTGTTCTGAAGTGCGCCTGTAGGTTAGGGAGTAGTTTTCTAAGGCCACATAGTTCACAAACTGCTCCCCCCCGGCCTCCCTGCCTCTGCACTAGTGTGCTTTTCCCCAGAATTATCAGTTGATGTATTAATTAGTCAACCAGACTGAATTAGTTTTTATTTATTTTTTCTTTTTTTTGTGAGGCAATCGGGGTTGAGTGACTTGCCCAGTCACTAGTGTTAAGTGTCTGAAGTCGCATTTGAACTCAGGTCCTCCTGACTCCAAGGCCAGTGCTCTATCCACTGTGCCACCTAGCTGCCCCCTGAATTTGTTTTGATGAAGGGGTACACACGTGGCTCTTAATTCCAGTGCCTTCCCTCTGTAGATGATTTTCTCTTCATCCTAGGGGACAAAGCTTGCTTTGTGTATATTTGCTTGCAACGTTGTTTCCTCCATTAGACTGTGAACTTCTTGAGGGCATGGACTGTCTTTTGCTTCTCTTTATATCTCTGTCATTTAGCACAGTGGCTGGCACACAGGAGGCACTTAATAAATGCTGATTGATTGGTGGCCAGGGAAAGACATTTAAGTAGTCCAGTTTCAGGTAAGGTGAATGAAACTACAGGAAAGTAAAATAACATACCCTTCCCAGGAGTAATGGCAAAGTTGATTTCGGATGGCGAAGGACTAGCTAGAGTATGATTTGATAAAGAGATGACCAGCAGTGGCTGGAGCTTCCCTGAAATAATAGGCCCGGTAAGGTATATACCAACTAGGACAGCAAGGTCCCAGGGCAGGGGTTCCAGATAATGAGAAAATGTCCAGGAAGTACAGAATATATAATATATATTTATATAATAATATATATTTATATAATAATAGCTAATATTTACATGGTACCTATTATGTGTTAAGTGCTTTTACAGATATTATTTCATTGTCTCCTCTAATTTTATTATTATTTATAATATTATCATATTATCTCAATATTATCTTATTCTTAAAACAACTCTGGATGGTAGGTGCTATTATTGTCTCCATTCTACAGATGAGGAAACTGAGACAAACAGAGGTTAAATGACTTGCCCAAGGTCACACAGCTAGTAAATATCTAAGGTTGGATTTGAACTCAGGTCTTCCTGAGCTCCATGACACCTAATTGTCCCTTATGTGTAGAAACCTATTTAGTCAATAGTCAGTAATAGGGTGACAGCAAAAGGAAAAAAATAAGAGTAGCTGAACAGCCCTGCTCACTATCCCACCCCATCAGCTGTTACAATGAATAGAAATTGTTCATTCTCATCATTGTTTATAGTATAGTTACACCAGATATTCACGTAACTCAATTTGTTCAGCTATTCCCCAATCATTTGACTCATGCTTTGTTTCTAACTTTCAGCTATTAGAAATAGCATTGATATGAATATGTTTATATACATATATTTTTTTCTTATTAGCAATAGCCTCCTTGGGAGATAAATTATATTGGTGGGACAATGGGCATGAAAAGTTTCTATAATTTCATTTGCATAAGTCAAAATTATTTTCAAAGGAGTTGGCTCACTTCATACTTTTATTAATAGTGAATTAGCATTCTTGTTTTCCGGTATCCAGTCAATACCATCTTTGACATTCTGATGAATGTGATATTATATTTCATGGTTGTTTTAATTTTTATTTCTACATTAACTATCAATAACAGCTAATTATTAATAACCAAAAGGTAATAATTATTTTTAAATATTTCAAATGGTTATTAGTAGTTTATGTTTCTTCATTTGAAGACTGTTCATGTCCTTTGACCATTTATCTCTGAAGAATGGCAGATTTTAGATATTAGACTTTTAAAATAAGAAACATTACATGCAGAGATTCTTTTCCCCATCCACATCATTGCTTCTTATTCTAGCTGTACTTATTTTATTTGAAGACTTGTTCAAAAGGACTATGTCTATCTTAGCAGAACTAAAATGTCCAAAGTAGGTCATGGGTATTAAAGAAGGGGTGAATACAGCTCCCTTGGGAGTGTCCAGACCCAACTCTAGCAGTTTCTGTCCTCCTTAGGACAAAATCAAATCTCTTCACTGCTCACTGAATACCAAACATAGGAAGCAACTACAGAATACCAGAACACCTTAACCATGCACGCCTGCTGTGAAAAAGCTTAAACAGAAGAAGAGAAGGCAATACTGACAGGACACATTGAAAGTCCTGAAAGTTGTTCTCAGGATTATCCGTAACATGGGTGGATTCAGAGAGACTAGAGTTTGGAGACTCCTTGATATCTAAGGAATGAAAAGACTGGCTGAGAAACTCAGGGGGCAGCTAGGTGGTGCGGTGGATAGAGCTCTGCTTTGGAGTCAGGAGGACCTGAGTTCAAATCCAGCCCCAGACACTTGACACTTCCTAACTGTGTGACCTTGGGCAAGTCACTTAACCCTGATTGCCTCACCAAGTGTGTGTGTGTGTGTGTGTGTGTTGTGTGTGTGTGTGTGTGTATGTGTATGTGTGTGTGTGTGTGTGTGTGTATGTGTGTATATGGAAAAGAAACATGTATCAAATGAGTATGAGTAAAACTAAGTGCAGGTAAAATGTTCTGACTTAAAAGAGGTGGGAGAGCAAAAATGTACTAAACAGATCAGTGAAGCAAAATGCAAACCTAACACTCATAACCTTAAATGTGAGTAGGTTATATGTTTGATAGGAATGTATATGTATAGCCTATATCAGATTGTGCACCATCTGGGGGAGGGGGGGGAGGGAGGTGGGAGGGAAGGGGAGAAAAATTTAAAACTCAAAAGCACATGGAAGTGATTGTTGATGAACCAAAATAAATTAATTTTTAAAAATGTGAGTAGATTAAATAATTCAATAAGATGAGATACCTCCTCATTGAAAGCCATAGCTATTTAAAAATTATTTTAACCATTTGTACTTGAAAAATAAAAATTGATGTGAAAATGTATATTGCCTATATCATAAAATGCAGCTTTATGGAAAGTCCATTGAGATGGTCCAAGAGATCAATATGGGTAATAGATATATAGACAGAAATAGATCTGGTTCTAGATAAATCTTGTGCACATATTCCAGATAGACGATGAACTGGGTCCAGAATTGAATAGGAGGAGGAAATTGGATCCAATTTCATTTGAGAAATCATGGGGGCCCCCCAAAGTGTATCCGGGGCCCTTATCTAGATGCATAATTTGATGAGAAATGTATTACTGGCAGAGACAAGATGGCAACAATACAAAGCAGGAAACAATATAAAAATTCCAAACAGATCTAGAAAATACACCAGACCAAATCCTGATGGGAAAATCTATAAAAAGTCACCCTGAATCATTTGTCTAGTGTAGGTCAGAATAGAAAGACAGATAGTTCTGAGAAAACTGGGCGCATGGTCAGGCCAGGAACATACTGCACTACAAACATTCCAGCAGCCAGGAAGAGATTATGAACAAGGAGGTCCCAGACCCATATTGGGGCATTGCAGTGGAATGCAATGGAATGCAAACTGGCAGTTTGGTCACCCACTACCCCATTCTACATCATCGGTCCAGGAGGACCAAGAAAGGGCCCTGAGCTTGGAGTAGAGTCCTCAGGCAGGAAGGCCAGGGGAAGTGTACTAAGAAAGAAGTGCAGAAGCCAGCAGCAGCAGTGTGGCTCAGACTCCAGGAGCAGAGCAGGGTCTCAGCTCCGGCATTTAGCCCAGTCTACAGAAGAATAACCAATGCAGAAATCCCAGGCTAAAGAGGAGCCCACAGTTCTGTCATTCTGAACCGACTGAGCTTCCTCGCTGGCCCACAGGGGCAGGGGCCAGCAGCAGTCCACGGTGTTCAGACCCAAGCCCAGGCCAGGAACCTAGAGAACTCAAAGCAGGGGATCAGCAAACAGACTTTGCCCTGGATCAGACCACTCTGGGAGCACTGAAAGCTTGAAGATCCCCAGCTGGCATTTGAGATCCTCAAATAACACAACACTCCATACCCTAAGAGAGCAGCAACAGGGCTAGCAGAGACCTTCCCTCCAGAAGTGTAGCAGCGTCCAGTGATAATAACAAGTCTGAAGTCAGGAAGCAGACTGGAAGAATGGGCAAACTAAAAAAAAAAAACCCACTGTAATGAGCTGTTATGGTGGCAAGGATACTTAAGACATAGATGCAGAAGAAGACGATGACTCCAAAACACCTACAAACAAAACCTTAGAGAAAAACAGAGCTAGGGCACAAATCCAACTAGAATTCCCAGAAGAGATGAAGCAAGTTTCTAAAAAACAATTTAATGGGGCAGCTAGGTGGCGCAGGGGATAGAGCACTGGCCCTGAAGTCAGGAGGACCTAAATTCAAATCCAGCCTCAGACCAAACACTTGACACTAGCTGTGGTGGCCCTGGGCAAGTCACATAACCCCAACTGCCTTTAAAAAAAAAAAGAGAGAGTTTAAAATGTTCTACAAATACACTTGAGGAGAAAATTGGAAAATAAATGAGAACTATTCAAGAAAGAATTGTGTGTGGTTTTTTTTTTTTAGGCAATTGGGGTTAAGTGACTTGCCCAGGGTCACACGGGTAGTAAGTGCCAAGTGTTTGGTCTGAGGCCACATTTGAACTGAGGTCCTCCTGAATTCAGGGCCGGTGCTCTATCCACTATGCCACCTAGCTGCCCCTTCAAGAAAGAATTGACAAGGGAATTCACGCAAGAATGCCTGGGGGAAAAAACTCCCTGAAAATCTGAATGGATCAAGTAGAAGTCAATGATTCCATGAGATAAGAAATATTAAAACAAAGTTGAAAGACTGAGACAATAGAAAATGTAAGGTATCTCACATCAAAAACAACTGGCACAAAAAAAGGAGAAAAAAATTTAAGAATCACTGTACTAGCAGAATACCATGATGAAAAAACAGAGCCTAAATATCGTGTTTCAAGAAATCTTAAAAGAAAACCATCCAAATCTCTTAGAATCAGAGGGTAAAGTGGAATCAGAAAGAATCCAGTCATCTCCTGAAATAAATCCCAAAATTAAAATCACCTGGAAATTATAACCCAAATCCAGAGCTTCTATATCAAAGGAAAAATACTTTCCAAGCCACCAGAAAGAAAGAATTCAAGTATAATGGAGCCATTATAAGGATCACACATGATTTAGCAGCCACTATTATAAAGGAACAGAAAAGCTTGGAATATAATATTCTAGGAGGTAATGCTTATGGGCTTATAGAGAATACCTTACCCAGCAAAACTGAGTGTGATGCTAAGTTTGAATCTTGCCTCAGATTCTTACTGGCTATGTGACCTGGGCAAGTCACTTAACCTTTCTTTTTTTTTTTTTTTCCCTCTCGAGGCAATGAGGTGAAGTGACTTGCCCAGGGTCGCACAGCTAGTAAGTGTCAAGTGTCTGAGGTCACATTTGAACTCAGGTTTTCCTGAATCCAGGGCTGGTGCTCTATCCACTGCGCCACCTTGTTGTCCCCATTTAACCTTTCTCATCCTCAGTTTCCAAATCTGTAAAAAGGGGATAAAAAGTACCTACAGGGCATTTGGTTGGATGTAAGTATTGAGAGCTAACAGTGATGTCAAATGAGACTGGAAAGGTTGATTGCAGCAAAGTTTCAGAGGGCTTTAAAAGCTAAACATAAAGCGTTTGTATTTGATTCTAGAGGCAATAGGAAGCCACTGGAGTTGAGTAGGGCAGTGACATGGTCAGATTTGGGCTTAAGGAAAATTACTTTGTGGTGCAGAGAATAAATTAAAGTGGTAGGAAACTTCAGGCAAAGAGACCAATTAGGAAGTTATTGTAATGATCTAGGCAAGAAGTGATAAAGCCATGAACCAAGGAGGTAACTGAGGGTAAAGGGCTGGATCTTCAGGGATCCAAAGGGCTGGGGAGGGATTTTTTTTTTTTACAAATCACTTTAAGCTTCAGCCTACTGTCCTCAAGGAAAAGTGTACCCCTGATTCACGGGGATGTTGCATAATTTTTATTGCTGTATCTTCTCGTTAATACCTTTTTGTAAAAGCCAATTGATGCCTACTGTTTGATTGATATTAGAAGAAGCATACCAGATGGGAGCTCACAGCAATAGTCTCAGTAAACCCATCCCCTCAGGGTTACCTGATGATAGAACACTGAGGAGATATGTCATTAACACAAGTTTGAGTTGAGGTTGGGAAACTGTGTTCAGAAGCGATGCTATGTAGGTTAACTTCACAGTCATCCCCTTCATGCTCTCCAAGGTCCAGACAAACTAACCCACTTGTACCCTGAACTCATTCCTTCTCCCTCCTTTTGCTTAGGCCATCCCCTCATGCCTGGGATGTCCTTCTTTCTCACTTGTTGCCTCTTGGAATCCTTCCTTCAAGAAAGGAATTGGCTTCCTTCATGGTTCAGCTTAGCTTCCTGGGTGCCAAAGAAAGCATTTTATAATCTCCCTAGTGGTTAATACTTTCTCCCATCTCTAATTATTATATTTACTTAGCCCTCTACACGTTGTATCCTCCAGTAGACTATAGACTCCTAGAGAGCAAGGACATATTTTCCCTTTGTGCTCCTATTGCCTAATATATTGGAAATCTTGGGAAGACAGAAGCAAAGTGCCCTAGTGGGTCACAATTTTCCATGGACCTAGATGCTAGGCCATCAGTGAATATGCCTCATGACACCTTCTCTCCCACAGATATTGAAAGAATACAGAATTCGGAAGTGGCAAGAAGTTATAGCCAAGTGTCCACATTGGCTAAAGCAATGAGCAAGGTCCTTCAGTGCCTGCTGCCAAAACCCAGTTAGAGTTGAAACGTGCTTCTCTATCCCATTTGCTTCCTTCTTCCACCCCAACAGAGTTTCTAGAAGTTCTTTACACCTGCCATAATTTACACGAATTTTTGCCAAGTTTACGTACAAGTGGAGCAGCTGTTCCACATGCCACCAGGCTTCTCTTTTCCAGGCTAAATAACCCTATCTCCTTTCTTCTATGGTGTTACTTGCTTTCTGTCCCCTGAGGCCCATCAGATCTCACCTCATACGGAATTGTCTGGGCAGCACCAATCCCTGGACAAATCCTCAGAGGGCTCTCTGGAGGTTAGCATCCTTGCCTTACCTTACTCTTGCAAGATCTACTCACCTGCAACATCTCCCTGAAGTCTTCGGGCCTGGGCTCGGTTGTTATAGGCTGAGGCCCTGCCGGGCAGCAGGTTGATGGCCTGACTGAACCTCTCAAGAGCTGTGCTCAGGTTCCCAGCTTCAGCTGCTGTCACCCCCTGGAGCTCTAGGTTCTTGGCTTCTTCCAGCAGGTCCCCAGGGAAGGTGTTATCTGTAGCCAGCGCATGTGACCCAGGAAGTAGGGAAGGAGCAGGGAGAGATGAAGGGGAATCAGTCTTAGGCTTTGGGAGATCGTGACTCTGGGCACTGGAGGGTGAGGACTGATCTGCTTGATTGATTGCTCTGATTGAAGTAATAGTAAGGCATCAATTTACTGTGGCTTATCAAAGGATCCTAGAATTTAGAGCAAGGAGCAACCTTACTTTACAGATAAGGAATTGGAGACACAGGGGTAGTGATTGACTCAACATCACTGAGGTAGCAAGTAGCATTAACTGGGATTTTAACCCAGATGCTCCTAAATTCAGTGTTCATTCCACACCAAGCTGCCTGTCCTAGATGGTTTTAGATTCGGCTTGAGAGCCATTTTTCAGAGTACATGTGAAAGTCTTCCGGAGACAGGAGTATATATGTGCATCTATCGATGACAAAGGACAAAGGAATCTTATCCAGTAAAGTCCATGCTCTCATCTGGCATTCAAGATGTTCTGTGCTCTAACTGGTTAATTTCCCAGCCTTATCTCTTATTCTTCTCCCACATGAAACCTCCACTCTAGCTGGACTTACTCATTAAACCAAAAACATACTACTTCCATTTCTGCCTCCACGTTTTTACCCAAATTAACTCCCCTGCTTGAAGTTCTATTGCCTATTATCCCTCCCAATGATCAATATCTTGACCAACCTTCAAAACCTAGCTAAATTCCACCTCCATGAAGCCTTCCCAGAACACTCAATTCTCCATGATCACTAACATCCTACAGTACTTACTGTCCACACTGTCTTGTATCATTACTTATCTTTTCATTAGAAGGTGAAAGTCTCCAGATTGTAAGCTGGAAGGCTGGAGCCATGTTTCTATATTCACTGGACCCAGCAGAGTTTGTTATTTATTAACAAAGTAGGGTGGACTCATCCAAGTTTTTGGAGATAGAAAGGGAGGAATCTTAGAGGTCCAGACTCCAACATTCAGCCTAGTACTGTTTAGGTCAGTTCTTCTACATTCTCCTCTTTAACTCTCATCAGTGGGGTAAGAGTACACCCTGATGGCACCAGATTCACCCCATTCTCCATCTCCCTCTCAAACATCCACTGCAAACAGCCCTTGGTGCTCCACAGAACTTAATTGGCCCAGTTTTTTTCTAAACCATGACAGAACCCTGCCACTGATGACTGGGCAAGCACACTCTAATAGGGAAGAATTGGCTTAGTAGTTGTAGATACACATCAGGTCGGGACTACATCAAAAAGTTGCTACTCGTGGCTCTCTTTTGCTTCACAGATTGGTTTCTTCCATCCCACCTCCACCTTACACAGATCTCCCACTTCTACCAGTTAACAACCTTTTCCACTCTCTACTCCACTATCTATTCCACTAATGATAAATACTGGCAAGGATGTGGAAAATGGGTGCCCATTTATGCATTAAACTTTGGCCAGGTGGCTTGTGATGGTAAGAGAGGGAGGTTTCATATGTGTGAAGTTGGTCCCCAAGATGGATTCTAATGCTAGGCAGCAGGGGCACTGTGCCAAATTGCACGGACAGCAGGCTATGAACAATTTGACACCATTAGCCTCTAACTGGTTTCCTGAGGATTTTACACTAAGCCCTTCGATTAACAATCTCCCTTTTCCCAGAGAAGAATGGAGGGCACAGAGAGTACAGAGTATCAAACCCTTTCCAGATGGGGGAAGTTTCTGGTCTAAATCCCAAATTTCTAGGCCAAATTTGTTGTAGGGATCACAGCAGGAATGGGACTGTAGCAACTTAGTCCAATTTTAGAAATGAGGAAACCAAGGCTCAGAGATGAAGTGACAGGCCCAAGGTTACATGAGAAATAACTCTCACCTTCATCTTCCAGCTGATTTTTCTCTATTTGATCTTCTTCAAGTTCCCACCCAGGCACATCTCCAAATGGGGTGTCTGGGCTGAAGATGGCTCTCAATACTGCTTGATCATTTGGAGTCCCCATGGTAAGAAGAGCTCAGCCCAAGGCAGTGACCCAAAGATAAGAGTTGTGAGGGGAGGAAACTGGGAGGGGCTAAACTGCCAATCACTGGGAGGTAAACAGGACAGTATTTGAAGACAAGTATTCCTTCCTCCCCCACTACCAGGGCCTTTTTGCAATGTGATCCATCCAGGAGTTAATGAATGACTGGCGGCATGTTTTCAAACTTTTATTCACCTATGCCCTCCAGGAGGGTGACAGGACTTAAGGATGTCAAACTTAAGGCTTAAGGTGGTTTGGATGATGGCAGAACTGATTTCTAGGTTTTACCGGGAGAGTTTTATTTAGTTACCTATGATTCTCTGGCATTAAATAGGATCACAGATATATAGGGCCAGAAGAAATGAGAGGTAATTAATCCAATTATTTTACAAATGAGGAAACTTGAGGCACAAAATGATTGACCTGTTCTGTTTAATATAGCTAGTAAATAACTAAGGCAGGATTTGTATTTAGGTTTTCCTGACTCCAAATCCAGTGTCACATCCACTGTGCCATGTTGTCTTTCATTCCATTACTTCTGGATAAGTTTTCACGATTTGTGAGAAATACCAGTTATATTTCTTCATTGCTTTCCATCCTGTGTATTTGGGGGTAAATCAGTAACAATCCTACCTAATATTTTGTTTAAAAATCATAATAATTATGAACTACAGTTGTGCTTAGAGTATTAATTCACTTAACAGACCATAAGCTCCTTCTAGGAAGTGACTATATTAACCCACTATTACCTTTTTCAGTAGATAACATAGTGTTCTGCAAAGCAGCAGGAGCTTAATAAATATTTGCTATATTAAATAATTGGACAAAGGAGGGAGGATGAGCACAATCAAAATGAAATACCATCTCTTCTCCAATTCAGTCACTTCCCCTGCAAAAACGGAATAGAGTTGAACGGGAATGAGTATTAGGCTTGGTAAAGCAAGAGTAGGGGCCACAGGATGACAGATTTACAAACAGAGGAGTCTGCAGAGGCCTTGTTTTTAAGATAAAGAAAGTGAGGCCCAGAGGTTGCCCAAGGTCATGTAAGAACTAAGCAGTAAAGCATTATAGCCAGGTCCTTTGACTCAAAACCCAGCACTCTTTCCCCTGAGTCACACTTGGACAGAAATTTTCAGTGATTTCCATTTCTGAAAAAAGGGAAAATGACAAGCACTTTGGCCTGAAGTCCCATACCAAACCTCCCAAGCTATCCCTCTGCCGAAAGGAAATAAAGTTCCACTGTCTGCAGCAATAAACTTGACATGTTTATTAATTAAACTATCACTTAAATAAAAAAAAGTGCATAGAAAATAAACATGTTTAAAAACTCCTTTTTTTTTTACAACTATGTACACTTTTTACTTTTACATTCAGTCTTTCGTAGAGAGCTTTCAGCATTATTATTTTTTTTTAACTATTAAAGTATTTTCCTTCATCCCTGTCACAGGGAGTTAACACTGATGGACTTTAGACACATTCCTTTTTATTTTTTCTTTCCCCCCCCTAAACCAGAAGCTTGGAAGAACACAAGGAAAAAAAATAAAAACAAAAAGATCTGTTATACATGATAAAGTTAAGAAATGTCTTATTTCTGGAACAGAATTTTGTCATCTGTTCAGTTTTTGAAACAATTATTCAACTACCTGTATTTACTAAAGAGACTGTTGAAAGTTCAATAAAAGAAACACCACAAGTATATTTTCTTGGTTGATAGACAAAACTAGAGTACCTCAGAACAAGATACCAGGAAAGCACAGAACACAATTTTCCCCCCTAAATGCAGGTGGTAATCCCAACATTCATAACCAAAAATAGAGAAACAAGAAGTACAGGTACTGACTGGTAACATTCATGGGCAGAAAAATCCTCAGCAGAGAAGCTCCAGGTGACATGGTTTGTGCAATTCTTTCCAACCCCTGGTGTGGGCTGGTTGATGCATCCCTATTAGACGATACTTTTGCAGTTTGGTTGTTTTTTTTTTCTTTTTTGCCTTTGGGGACCCAGAGGAACACCAGACTGACATTTTCCTGCCTCTGCTAGCAACTGTAACACAATCCTTATCTATAGTGTTAAGAGAATTAAAAGCCATGGACTGATACTGAACTAGGCTTTGTTACATGGTGCATTACTATATTAGTTCCTATATATATCATATTTATATTTATTTGAAAATTCAAAAAAAAACTTGCAAGTTTTCAGAGTGTGTGAAACCAGTAAGTAGTCTGGACTTGACTGGCATTCATGATTCGGCACAAAACCATCTGCTCAATAACCTTGTATTGCTTTGAAATGAAGGAAATGAAACAAAGTTTACACCCAGCCCTTTACAATGACCCGCTTTTTCCTTTGAGAAAAAAAATTGTTTGTTACAAATATCCCCTTCCCTCCCTCCCTCCCCCAAATAAATTCAACAAACACCCAACAAGGTTTTGACCTTTAGTATTTTCAGACATTTGTGATTGAACAGAAGTCCTTTAAAAAGATACATTCATTTTTTAAAATCTATTTTTTTTTTCAATCAAGGGAGCTGCATGGTGCTTACTGAATTGGCCAGGGTAGGACAGAGGTAAGCAGGGTGGTGGACTGGATCCTGCAAATGTCAATGAGTCTGGTTGAAAAATTAATAGTAGCTGCCAAGGCTTCTCTCCTCCAATCTTGTTAATGGTCTGAAAGCAGGAGGGGCTGTGCTGGAGATCATGGTGGTGGTGGTGGACGGTTATGGAGGAGAGGCAAAGGGACCAAGAAGACCTGGCCAAAGTGTCAGTGCCATGCAGCCACTCTGATACTGGAAAAGTTTTCACTGGCTGCAATGGCCACCAGTTAATGCAGCCACAACAGGTTCTAGCAGCAAAGCTATTTAAGTGAACTGGCTCTCTCACGGAGAACTAACCAGAGACACAATTATTACTCCTCAGGGGCTTGGGAATTTCTGAAGGGAGCTTCTTGAAAGAATCTTAGGAATGACCCAATGCTGTTTGCTCAGTCTGAATTTCTGTGCTAAAATCCTCTGGATACTTTTCAAGATGAACTCAGAGGCATTTTGTGTTTATTTATTACTTAACCCCCTTCTTTTCCTACTTCTGTTAGTGACCCTCTTTCTCATTCCCATGCTGCTGAATTTTTGGCAATGGGCTCAAGAATGAGCTGTAGTCACTCACAGAGGGGCTTTCTTAGCTTTTGGGTTACCAGGGTGGGATTAGGATATAACTTTCTTCCTAATACCCAGGGTATGGTAGGAAAGGAATGAGAAGGTGGTCTCTCATAGTACAGCACTGCCTATTAGGGCAGCAACTAGGTCTATTCAGCTGAGTTCTCCCCATCCCTGACTGGCCTTTGGGTCTTCTTAGAGTGAATTGCTGACCCATCAGTGCATCAATCATTTCAGTAATAAATGCAGCCTAAGGTTTTTTTGTTTTGTTTTGAAACAAGAATTAAAAAAAATAAGATTCACAAAAAAACCTCACACAGTGCAATAAGAAAGAAAATTAGATACTAGTGGAACACCTTGAATCACCGTATCTTGTCATGGACTGAAGAAAGAGGAAAGGTAAGATCTGAGTGGACTGTTCTTCTCAGCCCACTGCTGGCCCCTCTCCATGCAGACAAGATAGCCTTTGCCATCCTGTCCACAATGCTGGCGAGAGTGATGGTGTTTCAGCAGAGCCACCAGACAAAGTTCTTAAGGTCACAGGAGATAAGGGAGCCCAGGTTGGAGGGCGCAGACTGAACCATGGGTCCTGGGGCAAAGTACGCTGGGCTGAGTGATATTGCTTTGTTAAGCTTCCACAGGGTGGGCTTCTTGTGGCCAGGAAGGGTGTCCCACTGAGAGCCATTATTGATCTCCTGCTGGACTGAACTGTTTTGAAGCCCAGTAACCAAGACAGAGAAAAAACCTGTTTCTCTGTGAATGATCTGACTGTGCTTTAGTTCCATTGGGCCACCCTGGAAGTGTCTAGGGGGTCAGTAAGATTTTTTTGCAGACATGAGGAGTTGGTGGGGAGACTGGAAGCAGAGATAAATGGAGGCTACAAATGAGGCAGATAGAGATGGAAAAAAGTCAAGTTGCCTGACATCTAAGCTCTTGTTTTCTAACTCTGAAGTTGAAGAGACTGGGGAAATTAACAAAAATCTGCCTCTTGCCCTGGGGCTGGAACCCGAGATGCATTTTGGGAAGGGGGTGAAAGAAGAATTGTACCAACAGAGTAATGTAGCCTGCTGGGAGCTTTGTAGAGGAAGGAGAGAAGGGAGAAGCCCAATGTATTTAGGTGACCACCTTCCTTCTCTATAATCTAGGAGCAACCCAGGAAACAGTTACCTTAGTCAACAAGGCATGAACAAGCTTACATGATAAACAACAAAAAAAGCATACCTTCTGAGGGCAGGGGTTGGGGGTGGGAGAAACTGGACAGGAAAAAAAAAAATCAGACTTTGCGTGTACAGCTGAATATTTTCTCTAACTTCATCCTATGAAAATAAAAAATTATTAAAAACAGATCTTTTAAATTAGGATAATACCACGGTTTAAAAAATAGCCTCGTCATAAGTGCTTCTCCCTATGAAGTGCTTCTCATAGAAAAATATACAAAAAATATTTACATTTATAAAACCTTAAATATTAAACTGTAAACAGAACAGAGTAAAATCCAATGACTTAATTTAACAGATTTAGGACACTGTCTTGGGGAAGGGGAAAGGAAAAAAGGAAAGAAGGAGAGAGAAGTTAGTCTGATGCTGCTTTGACCATGTTCTGGAGGAGGAACCTCGGCAGTAGTGTCATTTTCATCTACTTTGACAAGAGATTTTGCACAGATGGTAGAGCTCCCTCCACACATGGTAACCTACTCCCTCAGGGTCTTGCAACCTTAGTGTTCTGCCTTTAGCTTTCAATGGAAATTGACCATTTAGGAATCTGGCCTTCCTATGTCTCAGCAAAGAATAGATCAAAGTAACAGTATCCTAGCAACGGGGGCTTGGGAGAGGGAAGGATAGCATCAACTTGGAT